AATTAGAGGTTGTTGGTGCACGGGAATGTCAAAGATAGGTGGGGGTGGACAGTGAAACACATTGTAGAGGAGCCACGTATGAACAGGAGAGGCAAGCATGAGATGATTCGGCACGTGCGTACGTCTTGGAAAGGCGGAAGGGAAACCGGAGAGAAAGATACAAGGTGTGCTGCCTGCTCACCTTTGCCACCGGGGTCCGGCGCGACGGCACCACCATCGTCTCCCGCGGGTGGTTGGGAAGGCACCTCCGCCCCGCTCGTCCGGGGCAACCCTCCGGCTTGCCCATCGCCGGAAGGTACCAACGGCTGCTGCTGCTGCTCCGTTCCTTCCGTCCCCGCGGCCGCGGCCGCGGCCGCGGCCGCGGCCGCGGCCGCCTCCGCCGCCTTCTCGACCCCGATCTCCATCCTCAGCTTGGCCCGGGCCTCGTCCTTCTGCTCGGGCGTCAGGCTCTCGTCGTTGCCGACATGCTTGAGCTGCTTCTTCCTGTTCTTCCTCTTCCTCTGCTCCGCCGCCTTGTCCGCCTTGTTGTTGTTGTTGTTGTTGTTGCCAGTGCGCCCCCTGTTCATCGGACCGGCCCCACGCCCGCCACCGCCCGGCCCGTTCATCGGACCACCGCCGGCAATCGGCATGAAACCAGGTCCGGCATCGCCCCCGCCCAGCGTTCCTCCCCCTCCGCCACCCCTGCCGCGCGAAAAGTGACCGCTCCCGCCCGCTCCCGCCGGAGGCATGTTTCCACCGGCGCCGGCCCCCCCCATGCGAGCACCTGGGGGGCCGACGTTCATGCCGCCGTCCACGTTATCTGAGGGAAAACAAGGCATTGGCGACGTGAACAGAGCCTCGATAAAAAAACGACGTGTTTGTAGATATGATGCCAAGCACGTGGTGTGGACGGAGCCAACAAAGATGAAAGGAAGTGGCGGGGGAAGTCCCGGACAAAACGAAATGGCTGTACACAACAGGAGGAAGCGGAAAAAGGGGGTGCAGCCGACCGTTCCAACTGCCAGAGGACACTCACTCAGTACCTCAACTGCCGAAGATACGACGGAGCGCCTCTTTCTCACGCGGGAACGGGAAGACGGCACACAAACAAGAAAAATAATCGGGGAGGGACTAATGTGCTGAAAAATAAGGAAGAAAGACTACCGTTCGAGATATACCCACAGCAGTCCAACGGGATGCGTCGGGAGTCTTTTCAGCGAGTTTACTGCTGTACCCTGCACGCAACTAAGCGGTCAACAGGAAGGACAACATGCAGGAGTCAACGACCCGAGACGACCACGAGAATAACAAAGAGAGAGAGAGAGAGCGGAATAAACATGACCGTCAAACAACCACCAGGGAGTCAACAACAGGACAAAGAGCGTCGCGACCAGCCTACCGCCGTACCCGAGGGGAACGGCGCCATGCGATTTCCAGCAGGGCGGTCCATGCCAGGCTGCTGCTGCCCGCCGCTGCCCATTCCTCCTCCTCGCCCAGCACCCCGCGCCTGCTGCTGCTGCTGCTGCTGCTGCTGGGGTAGTGGGCCATGGCCGCCGCCGCCCCTAGCCGCCATGTCGGGGGGCGGGCCTCGGCCTCCCCCTCCGCCGCGCTGGTTCACCTCTACCCCCGAAGGCTGTTGGTTCATCATCGACAGTTGCCGTTGCTGCTGCTGCTGCTGCTGCGCTCCTGCTCCTCCCCGGCCATGCATCGGAGGAGGAGCGCCGCCCCCACCTCGGCCACCGGTGCCGGTGCCGCCTTCCGGGGGCGGCGGCGGTCCACGGAGCCCCCCCCCAC